GGCACGGGGCCCCAGCCCCCCCACCCCGCCTGCTTACCTGCTTGATGCCCTTGGAGTCTACGAAGCTGGTGATGTCAGGGGGCATGCGGAGGCCGGGGGGGGTCACGTAGCGCAGATTGACACGGTACTGGGTGAGCAGGCGGGCCAGGGAGTGCACCGTGCGCCCGTGCTTCAGGTCGCCCACCATAGTGATCTGAGGAGAGCCGTCAGCCCAACTCACGGCACCCAATGGCCCCCCCAGCCCCAGGCAGGGCCCTTCAGTCCCACAGCACCGTGGTGGGGGTGGCCGTGGCCCCCACCCCATCCTCCACTGCCTTACCGTCATGCCGTTGACGGTGCCCAGCTCCTCGCGGATAGTGAAGATGTCCAGCAGCGCCTGCGTGGGGTGTTCCCCCACCCCGTCCCCGGCGTTGATCACGGGCTTGCGACAGTGCTTGGCAGCCAGCTGGGAGCACAGGCAGGGCTGAGCGCAGGCAGGACGCAGCCCCCGCCAGCCCCATGGGGGCAGGACCCGGCTCCTGTTCCTGACACCTGCCCAGCCCGCCCCGCTGGGGAACACGGCCGTGCCCCATAGCGCAGGTCACCATCCCCGTCATCGGGGCAGGGCCCCCAGTGCCTTCAGGGCAGGATGCGGCCGCCCCCCCGGCCCCGCCGCAGGCAGGAGACAGCCCCACCAGCCCCTCTCACCTCAACGGCGCCTGGCTGGGGGTGCCGCAGCACCAGCACGTCAGCATAGCAGCACATGGTCTGCACAGAGTCGGCCAGCGACTCGCCCTTCTGCACCGAGGAGGTGGCCTCTGAGAAGGACAGGACAGAGCCGCCCAGCCGGCTCATGGCCGCTGCGAAGGAGCTGCTGGTCCGCGTGCTCGCCTCGTAGAACATGGACGCCATCACCTTGCCCTGCGGGGGCCGTGCTGTCACCTCAGGGAGCCCAGGAGCACTTGTGCCCGGCCACAGGGCTCCCATGGCCTCGCTCGGGGTGCCCGGGTGGGCAGGCAGCTGCCCCACGCCCGGCTCACCTTGAGGATGTCCAGGCTCCGCTCCTTCTGCACCAGCATGCGCAGGGTGTGCGCCACGTTGAACAGATGCGACATCTGTGGGGAGAGGCGGCTCAGCCGGGGTGTGCGTGGCACCAGAACTCAGCCAGGGTGCACGAGGCACTGCATCCCCCATGCTCGTCCAGGTGCCCACAGCCCCAGCGCCCACCGCCAGCCCAGGCACCTGCTCCTTGGAGAACTGCTGGACGGAGAGGACGTGCTGCCCAACGAGGGGGTGCAGCAGCGGGGAGGTCTGGAAGTGGGGTGCACCCTGGGGGGACACCTGGCGCGGGAGGGGGCCCAGGGGATAGAAGTAGCTGTCCTGGATCACAGCCGGATCTGCGGCACCGAGAGCAGCCGGGTCAGCCCGGGTGGGTGGTCTCAGGGCACCCCACCAGTCCACCTGCCACGGGCCCCCAGACCCCTGTAGCACTCACCTGCCTCTGCCACCTTTCTGCCGGCCTTTTCACGGGCATCTTCAGCTGGGGTGGGAGAGGGGAGCGGCAGCATTAGAGGGTGCGGGCAGCTGTGGCACCCCAGGCCCCGCTCTCCCAGGGTGCTGCCAGCGCGGCACAGCCCTCCTGGCACTTGCAGCACTGGGCAAAAGCACCATGGGGGCCCGATGCCAGGGCCATGGCCACCCAGAGACTGGGCAGGCCAAGCCCCGGCACGGTGCTGCACCCATCTCCCCGCACACCCCACAAAACCCAATCGGACGCAACCCAAATCACACTGGCAGGCGAGGGGTCCCCGAGGTGCCGCACAGGCTGGGGCAGGAGGGGAGCAGGCAGGCGCAGCCGTGCCCTGTCCCGTGGTGCCCGGCCCCATCACATGGTGGGGAAAGGGGCCCGTGCTGGGGCGGCGCGGATGGCCCGGGGCCAGCGCGGCACCTGGGGGAGGGGATGCACTCATTGGCTGCGGTTAGTGCCATTAGTACGGCCGCGTCTCATTTTCTGAG